AAAAAAGTTAAAGGATTAATTGCAATTATAGTCCCAATTTTTTAAAAAAAAGTACAAATAAGTCCCCAATAAATTATTAAAATATTAATTTTTTATAAAAAGTGCAAAAGAGTCCCAATTAAATTATTTAAAATTTTAAAAATAAAAAAAAATAAAAAGAGCAAATGAGTCCCAAATAAATTATTAAAGAATTAGAAATTAAAAAAAATTTATTTTTTATTTAAATATGAATGTATATTCATTATTTCACAGTTCTTTATTGAAAAATTGAATGAAAATGATGGTTTGTCCAATTAAATGTGTAAAGGTGAAAGATAAGGACATTATGTACTAATTACCCTTTTAATAATTTATTTAAGACTCATTTGTGCTTTTAAAAAAAAATTGGGACTATGATTGCAATTAATTTTTTTCTTTTTCCTTTTGTTTTATTTAAAGGAAATGATATTTTCGTTATTTCACAAGTTTTAATTAAGAAAATTGATAAAATAACCTTTTGCGCAATGAAATGTGAAAATAAGAGTAAAAATGTCAAAAAAAATGAAAGGTACGAGATGTTTTCCACGATAACAATGAAAATTAGGAACGTTATGTGCTAATTACCTTTAGAAAAATCTTGTTTAAAAGATTTGCTCTATGAAGTTCATTGACTTTTGTAGATTGTTCTTACATGACAACTCAAAGGATATTTTTAAGAACCAAAGTTGTGAACGATCAAGAAATTTTCAATATGACGCTTTAACACATAATGTACGAACACTTGGGTGACCCCACAAAATTTATTGCATATGTATGGTGTGTTTGAGCCACATTATTTTGGAAGAATGTATTATGGAAGAGAAATGCTATTCATCCCCAGTCTATGTGGCGTTTATGTGGCATCAAATGATAGGTGAAATTAAATAAGTCATTTAATTTCACCTATCATTTAACCAATCATTTACATCCACATAGATTGGGGATGCATCCCCACTGGGGATGAATAGCATTTTTCATTATGGAATAGTAGATTGATGGAGAATGTGTGGTTGAAAAAGAAGAAAAAGTTATTAATGTGGCGGAAAATATTATTTTAATGAAGAATGTGTGGTTGAAAATGAGTAGAAGAATGAGAATGAAGGATTAAAATTGAAAGACATTCGAATCTAGCAAAAGAAAAGTAATACTAAGGGTGTGTTTGATAGCCTAGAAAATTAGGTGGACAAAGAAAATGTTTTCCAACTTCACTCAATTAATGGTGTTTGATTGCAAAAGTTTTCATTGCTTTTGTTTTTCCTACCTTTTCTAGGTATAATCATTTTATGCACATTTTCTTGAATTTGTTTTTACACCTATTAGGTGGGAAAGCAATTTCCATCTTTTTTTTTATTTTTTTATTTTTTAGCAATGGCAACAAATTCTATCAACTATTGCAAAAAGAATTTTAACTTTTATTGACAATTTCTATGCAAAACAAAGTCAAACGAATATGATAATTTTTTCTAATTGTTTAATTTTTTTTTCCTTTTTGGTAATTGGAACAAATTCTAGATGTAATGGTAGAAAAAATTATCACTTTAATGGACAATTTCTATAAAAAATGAAGTCAAACGGATACCAAACTTTCAACATTTTCCAGGTGGAAAATTATAACAATCAAACACAATTAATTACAATTCCCAATAAAACATTTTCTAGACAATTCAATTCCCAGTAAAACAATTTATTTTCACCTCAATCAAACGGACCCTTAATTGGTGGAATCTTTAGCCCGGAAACAGTGATTGGCAGTTTGCTGGGGGGTTAATTTCACAGATAGTCAACAAAGTTTGTGAGAAATTTCAACTTGGTCCTTAGAGTATTTTTTACTCATAAAGTTGCTAAAGTTAATTAGGGTCTGTTCGGTACAGCTTAAAATCCAATTAAAATTGAAAATATGACCGTTATTGGGTCCCACTCGTCTAATAAAAGTCAACAATAACGGCTAGTTTTTCAATTTTAATCCAATTTTAATCTCTACCGAACAAACCCTTAATGTTACAGGAGATGCGATGTGACACCGTTTAAATATGGACTAAGTTTTGTCGAATATGTTGCCAAACAAGCTGAATTTCAGTCAATTTCACAAATGCACTAAACTTTGTATGAAATTTCAATGTGGTCCTTAAAATATTCTTCTGACCCTTTTAGTTGCTAAAGTTAAATATTGTTTTATTGAATGCCACTAGGCGGCTCATCCTACTTTAGCGTTGGCAAAAAAGCTCGGAAGCTTGGGCCTCGGGCCGAGCCCCACTTTGGGGAGTCGGCTTGAGCCCGGGCCGGCCCGTGGCCAGGAAGAGCCTTCTATTAAAAAAAAAAATTTTTTTTTGAAGGCAGTTAATAAAAAATAATAATAAAAAAAAAACCAAAAAATTCGAGCCGGCTAGGCCCGCTAAGGCTCGGGCCAAAAGCTCGGGCCGAGCTTCATTTTTTTTGATCGGACTAGGCTCGACTCGACTCGACTCGTTGACATCGCTATCCTACTTGGACACCTTTTAAAATTTAAATACACTTTTTGGGGTGAAATTTGCACTTTTTTCTTCAACCTTTGCAACTTGATACCAATTCAATTCAAAAGTATTTTTAAAAAATTCTAAAAAAGTAAACTTTGAATTCATCTCAATTTATCGTTTCGTACTCGTAATAGAGACATCCACCAAAGGAAGTGGACAAAATAATCTTTTATCATTCGTTTCAAGTAAGATTCGAAAGAACCAAATTAATCCATATGAAAATCAAATATTTTGCATAATAATAGACATGGGTGGTTCAATTTAAGAAATATCGATTCTTTTTGGATTGCAAATCACATGCAGTTTCTTAAAGTTTTCATACTCAATGACAACAACTAAACACGAGGATTCTGCTCATTATATGGCTTATCTCAATGCCTTATGGCACAAACTCATGACATCCATGCATTATTTATGTTCGCGTTGTTGAAGACAACTCTACTTATCGAGAGAATTTTTAGGGGATATATCAAACTCTAGTAAGGTTCTTTATTTTACATTAAATTAAAACTTTTACGGTCGCTCGTAAACTTGTTCAACCCCTATCAATTTCTTTACGTTTCATTCTCGCGAACATACTCACCATGCAAAATGCAAAACTGATACATCTATTGTTTAAGGCTAGAGTTTCTACCACATCCACTCCAGTAGCTTTTGTAATTTATTGTTAGAACTTGTTTGGTAAGAATTTTTAGAAGAAGAATTGATTTTAAATAGTGATATGATGGGAAATGTGTGGTTGAAAAAGAAGAAAAAATTATTAATGTGATGGAAAATATTATTTTATTGAAAAATGTGTGGTTGAAAATGAGAATTGATTTGAGAATCAATTCTCAAATAAAAAACAAACATCCCCTTAATGTCTGTCCACCAGAATGCTTTTTCACAATCATCGGTGTTCTTTATTTAAATGCATTTCACTAGTCTATTGAAAATTCTCTTTACTCCCACTGTATTTTAGATTAACGTGTAACGACCTGGGTCTCACTTAACGGGCTGTCTCAGCCGTTAGATCGACGTCGTACTATCCCCACTGTATGAACATGTGTTTTTTCAGCATATCTTATCCTCACTCGCACACTCCCCAAGAAAACTTTAGAGGGGGTCACCCATCCTAAAATTGTTCCAAACCAAGCACGTTTAATTGTAGAATTTCTAATGATTGACTTCTTGAAAAGAATGTGCACCTTGTTGGTATGAGTAGTACATATCAAATCTTTTAAACTTTCCTGATCTGGGTATTACAATCACCCCCTATTAGACTCGCGACGTCCTCGTCGCCCTTGATCCATCTGAGGATCCGTTGCCGGCGTTGAGATTCTAGAGGTAGCTCCTACGAGTTCAAGATGTGGCTCCCGCCTTATGGCGTAGCATTTTGTCTCTCATAGCACTCAGTTCCCGATTTTCGGCTGGCAACCGAACTCTAATACCATTTTGTAACGACCCGGGTTCCACTTAACGGGCTGTCCCAGCCGTTAGATCGACGACGTACTGTCCCCACCGTATCAACAAGGTGCACCTTCTGTTCCGGAAGTCTATTGTTAGAAACTCTACAGTTAAGCTTGATTAGCTTGAAACAATTCTATGATAGGTGACCACCTGGAAAGTTTTCTTGGGGAGTGTGCGAGTGAGGATAAAGTATGCTGAAAAGACTCATATTGGTATAATGGGGACAGTACGTCGTTGATCTAACGGCGGAGATAGTTCGTTAAGTGTGACTCGGGTCGTTACACAACGACTGTGTCCAAAGTTGAGCCCTGAGATTTGACACGTTTCATATTCAAATGACGACATTATATATTGTGTCGAAACAAAAAATCTATGAGATGGCCAAAAATGTCAATTTGACAAACAGATTGAGATTCTTATGAGAGAGATTTTATACCCAAAAAAAATAAAAATGAAAAATCGCAAACTAAAATCACAACAAAAAGGAAGACCTTCACACATAAATTCTATCAATCTGCCCACTCGCCAATGACGTGGCAGCCCATCACCGCCTTTCTCTCATTTATGCACAAGCGCGTGTGATTAAAACCAAGGAGGCTCCGAAAATTCAAAACGACAGAGCTTTTAGAGAGAGAAACAAAAACTTTTTTAGAGAGAGAAACCGAGTGGACTTCGGATCGAAGAGCATAACGGCCCCTTCTTCTCTCCGCCACCGAAACCCTAAAAAATCAGACCTTTTCTTTTCTTTTTTCTTTTTATTTTTATTTTTCCCAATCTTTTGATATTCTGTTTCTGTTTATTATCATTATTATTTATTTAATTTTGAAATAGTAGATCTGCATATATCGAGTCTCTTTTGATTTAATTGCTGTGTATTTTCTTTTCGTAAATTGAGGTTATTGAAGCCCTAGGTTTGGATTTTTCGTTTTCTAACTCTAGGGTTTTTGAAACTCTAGATATGGGTTATTTTAGGGTTCTTGAAGGTTGATTTGGTGAAGTTAGGGTTCATATATTACATGAATGGATTCGGGGACTTTAGGGGATTCAGATAAAGATTTGGATTCGAGACTGAGGGTTCGATGGAACGAAAATAGCAAAGTTTATACCCGAAGGGTCGTCAAGAAAGCCCAAAAAAACTGCATCAATTACGATTCTGCCACTACCACCGCTACCGAGAATCCCGCCGCCGCCGAGGTTCCCTTCTCCACCACCGCCGCCTTCGAGAATCCCACCAGCGCCGCATCCATCTCCACTCCGACGGTTATCGCAGGCTGTCCTACTGTGACAACCACTGACCACCGTAAGAGCTGTGACAATGTTGTGACAGAGTTTTCGAGAACCCCGGGGGGTGAGGATGTAGATTCCTCTCCGCAGAGGCTGCAAGAGCAGTACCCTCATCAAGAACGGAAGTCTTCGGAAACCCTAGTGTCCAAAGTTGCTTCTCAGCAGCAGCAAGGACAACCACCGCATCAAGAACAAGTGCCCCTGTCCATTCTGTCAGAAGATGCTTCTAGGCAGAATCAAGTGCAAGAAGGCAGTGTCAGTCAAGCTGCTGAGCCGCAGTGTGTCAAAGAATTATCGTCACTAGCCAGTGGGAAAAAGGTCGACAACTTGAAAGAATTATCACCACTGGGCAATGCAAATGAACTGCCAAAAAAAATTGGGCATGGGCCGGAGAGTTCAAAAGAATCATCACCACAGCCCAGCACAAATGAGCTGCCAAATTGTAGGGAAAATTCAATGGCACAGCTGCCCAGTGGGTATGAGCTGCAGAATGGTAGAGAAGAAACCCTTGTCCCCTCGACCCTGCCCAGTGGAAATGAGCCGAGAACTGTGAACAGTAACTGGAAACCCCTGGTGGTAACCAGGATTGATGATAGGATTAGATTTAATTTATCGGAAGCAACACCAAGGGATGAAATTAGAGAGCTTAAAAAGAAGCTAGAGGGCGAGCTTGAGCAGGTTAGGATGTTATTTAAACAGCTAGAAGCCAAGGATGCTAGTATTAACAGTAGTATTATTAGCAGTAATAATATTTTGACTGGCAGTGTTGGTGCTAATTTGGGTGGGTATAGTCAACCTCAACCTCAGTATGTGAGAAATGATGCGGTAGAGAAGAGAGTGCTATTGAGACTGAATTCAGAGGTGGGTTCCATGGGGCATCTAGCAACCAGACCGATGAGTTTAGCAAGAGTGAATTCTGATGTGGGTGCGACACGGTATATGAAACCAAGGGCGTACAGTAGGCAACTAAGTGTTGCAGTAATGGAAAACAATCCTAGGGTTGGTGAATTTGTGGAGAAGGAAAAAAGGACTCCCAAGGCAAATCAGTATTACAGGAATTCGGAGTTTCTTTTGGGGAAGGATAGATTGCCTCCTGAAAGCAATAAGAGATTAAAGACAAATAATAAGAGGAAATTTGGTGGACATGGATTTGGCTTTGGTTTCGCGACGGATAAGAACATGCATCAGGTGTTTAGGAGTTGCAGCAACTTGCTTCAGAGGTTGATGAAGCACAAACATGGATGGGTGTTTAATGAGCCAGTGAATGCCAAGGCACTGGGATTGCATGATTACCATGATATCATTAAGCATCCTATGGATTTGGGTACAATTAAGAATAGACTGTCGCAAAATTGGTACAAATCTCCGAGGGAATTTGCGGAGGATGTGAGACTTGTGTTTCGCAATGCAATGACATACAATCCAAGAGGGCAGGATGTCCACGTTATGGCTGAACAATTATCTGAGATTTTTGAAGAGCGTTGGGCAGTTATAGAGGCGGAGTATAATCATTATTGGAAGTACCGTATGTATCATGATGTGGGGTTGCCCACTCCCACTTCAAGAAAGGCTCCACCTCAGCCTCATTTTGTTCCCCATGACTTTTCCTCTGCTCCTGCTTCCGCTTCTTTTCCTGCCCACGCTCCATCTGCTCCACAGATGATGACTTTGGATAGGTCGGAGTCCATGGCTACACCTATGACTCTTGATCCTAAAGTTCAACGAACTCATGTTGGTCGGATGCCTGTTCCAAAGAAACCTAAGGCGAAGGATCCCCATAAGAGGGACATGACTTATGAGGAGAAGCAACGACTTAGCAAAAATCTTCAGAGCTTACCTTCTGAGAAGCTCGACGCACTTATTCAAATCATTAAGAAGAGGAACACTTCTGTATCTCAAAATGATAACGAGATTGAGGTGGACATTGACACTGTTGATACGGAAACCTTGTGGGAACTTGATAGGTTTGTGACTAATTTCAAGAAGAGCTTGAGCAAGTACAAAAGAAAAGCGGAACTTGCTCTTCAAGCTAGAGCAGGAGCTACTTTGACTGTTCCAGAGATGGTAAGAGTTTGATTTATATTTTCTGTAGTCGTTTTTGGAATTCAAAGTCAATGCACATAATGTAATTTTCTTTGAAAGTACATTGATTATCTTTTCATCATATTGCAGGCTACAATCCCGGCATTGGCAGAGGTTCCTATAGAAAGTGGACCAGGTGGCAATTACTTCTACAATATTGATATTCTAGAGGTGTTATTTTGCATGCATAGATTACCATAACTGACCTTCGAATTTCTCATTTTTTGAAGCAGTTGGAAAGAGTTCTGCTCCTCCCGTTCAAGTTGAAAAGCTGGGGTATAATCCGAGTAAGTCCAGTAGTTCAAGCAGTTCTAGCAGTGATTCTGGATCATCTTCGAGCGGTAAATGATTTTTCTCTCATTCATACATTAAACAAAGCAACAAAAATGTGAATAATAATAGTCAAATAGAGCATAATTTGAAAAAATTCCCTAAATAACTTGAAAACCTAACAGGAAAAAAATTAAACAAATTAAATTGGTGAACTCGAAAACCTTAGCATTCCCTGCCTCCAGCTTAGACCAAAGCTCTGCCATCCCGACCTTAAAATAAATAAGATATATGTGTATATAGCAAGATATATAGTCAGAAAAGGAGAAGTTACCGTGAAGAGAAGGAATTTTCTGCTCGCTGCCAAACCCTAATAGGTGAATAGTTATGCGTATATGGGGGTGGATCCTCGTCTTCGGAGTAGTGGATGCAGATTTTTGGGGGGTCACCAGAGAAAAAGTGAAGGAGATGTCTGATAAAGCAAATAAAATCGAAAATCGGTGTGTGAGCGTGAGAGAAGAAACCCCAGATTTTAATGGAGGGGCCCAATTTGGGGAGGGAACAGAGAGAAGATACCATAGAGAGAGAGAAGAGGACGACGACAAATAACTGAATGAAGAGAGAGAAGGAAAATTAACGTGGCATGTAGTTCTGGAAGAAAATGGATGGTTAGGATCTTGATGGTGTCAGATAGAAAATAAGGTCGTCATCGAGTGTAGAACCCAAGAAAAACTACATCCTTTCAAATAAGGGAGGTCAAAAAAATATAGAAGACGTCATAATAAAGTCAGCAAATCTCTATTGTTTTCGACTACCACGTGAACAGTAACACTTTTATGGCTCTTTTTATTTTTATTTTTCAAGGATACCACACAACCCTTTATATTCACCTGTACTGATATGATTCATTATGTGGTGCTTGTTTGAGTGGGATATTGAGCAGGTGGGCTCATAAGATTGCACATCTCTCCTTGTAAATGAGCTTATAAGCCCTCCCAAACATGCTAGATCATGTTGATGTCTTTGTTATCATCATTATTCTATCTTCTGACTGATTCAATCTGTTATTTAACGTCGTCGCAGATTCCGATAGTGATAGCTCCTCTGCCGATGGGTCAGATGAAGAGCATTGATCTAGCATGTGAATGGATTTTCTTAAGGTAAAGGTAAAGGTGTTTGCATTATAATTACATTTTTAGTTCTTCAGCCATACGTCACATGCATTGAGCTACACTTGTAAATGGATCGAATATGGTTCGGATCTGCCCATATCTGATCCGATAGAAATAATTATTCGATATCCGATAATCCAACGGATATTTGATTGTTAAATTCATATCCAATTTGTTATGTTATTGGATATCCGATCCGATAATCCGATCCGAAATCAAATAAATTAGGAAAATAAAATAAATGTTGAAATTAACTTAGCCCTTCTTTGTCTATCATTATTCCAAAAAATTGTTTGCTACAGTAAGATTCACCACCACACATTCACCTAATAAAATATTCTGCACACAAACTAATAAAGTTACTTTAAATTTCAACCACACATTCTCCAAAAAATACTATTCATTACTTTATTCTTCTCCCAATAATGGGAGACAAACACACCCTTAATCTTTTTTCCCAATTCTTAAACGGGTTTAATAATTATAAATTTTTTAACTTTTAGCCAATCGGATTGAAAGGCACCAAAAGTTGCTCACCCATTTATTAACTCACCTATTCATAGAGGACATCTTCATATATTTTTTTATAAACTTTCGATATAAGATAAGAATTCATTTGGTTTGGTTATGGTACATTGTACATTTGGTTTGATTGTAGTGCATTGTACTATTAAATAAAGTCGTTTATATTTTATTAAATTAATTATTTTTCAAATCTTTTACTAATTAATAAAAATTTAAAACTCTCTAAATATTTCAATTAACTCCATTATACTATATCTTGTTTATTGAATATATTTATATTGTTAAGTTCTTAAAATTGTATTTGGTACTATAATTCGTATGTATTAATGAATAATTTTTATATTGATTAAAAATTTAAAATAATAATATTATTATTATTATTATTTTATTTTTTTTAGCCCGAAACCTCCACGTCTCGCCTCGCATTACGCTTTTTTAAAACACCGCGTACACATGGATTGACTTTCTTATTTTTTTCATGTTTTGAAATTGTTGATGGCTTCTTTATTCTAAATTTCTCTACTCTCTCATTTTTCTATTTTATTGACAAATAACATGCCATAAAATATATTTAACCGACTCAACTATTTATAGTAAATCGGATCAGGTTGTTATCGAATTGGATTGATCTATATACATATTTGATTCATTTAGTTAACGGATTATCGGATTCGGATCTTGATCGGGTTATCGGACTGAGACCCTAAATCCATCTCCCATTAATTTCGTCGGATTCTGATCAAAATCCAATCCATTGACAGCCTTAGCTACAAGGTATATCTTGATCGGGTTATCGGATTGAAACCTTAAATTTGTCTTTCATTAATTTCATTGGATTCGGATCAAAATCCAATCCATTGACAGACCTAGCTACACTGCCTCCAGAGTTCTTTTGTTTGCAATTTCTACATCTCACCGGCTTGAATTTATTTGTTTTTTTTTGTTGTGTTCCATAGCTCCTTCTCTCTTTTTTGATTGATGATATATTTCAGCAGTGGTGTTATTAGCATTGCTAGTAAAGTGCCAAGTCGTGCTTTTTAATCATTCTCCTTCACCAAACAACCTAGTGGGCTTCATGAAAGAATGTTTCCATGTTCACAGCTTTGTCAATAGGTGGAATCTGACATGCCATTGTATCTCAATTGAATCTAATTCTTACACTGCTCTTATTGTTGAGAAATGGTTTTGTTCTGACCTATAAGTATAAGTTTATCTGATTGATTCACAAGCGAGTTTACATTTTATGTAGTCTAAAAGAAAGAGGTTTCGAGGGGGCCGCCAAGGATGCGGTTCATCCTTTTAGCCCTGAGGGGTTGCTTAATTGGTCAGGTTTTGGGTTTGCTCCCTAATGGTCACCAGTTCGAGTCCTCTCAGAGCCACTGAGTTAAGTATCCGGCCGTAAACTTCAGGGTCCCGTGAAATTAGTCGAGGTGCGTGCAAACTGGACCGGACATCCAAGGTTATCAAAAAAAAAAAAAAAGAGGTTTCGAAGTCGATGGTTATGATGATTGATAGGTGTTGCCATGCTCCTGCAAACTAGCATTTCACGTCTTTCTCCATTTGATCATTAGCCTCCTAAAAGCAGGGGAAAGCGAAACCAAAAAGGGAATAAAATCAATTGAAATATGCCCATAAAGATCCATTTTTAAATTAATACCATCTTGAAGTTAGTTTTTTAATGGTGTACATGGTTCGTGGAGAAATGCTTTCATATATTTTATTTCCCTTGGTTTTGACTCTTAGACACGAAGGTTTCTTTTAGTCATATCATCTTTTGATCTACATAATTTAAATGGTGGGGGGGATGGGGAATGTTGAGATACTGTCCAAAACTTCAGATAATGACTTAATGATACAGCTTGAGGGTTAAAAACACTACTAATCACTCTCCATCCATATCCTTTTGTTGAATTAATGAAGGAGTTGACTTAGCTAACAGAATATATGATGCGGCATGGAAAATCTGTCCATGCATCGTTTTATGGTCCAGTTGGGCAAAAATGCATCTTGTTGGACTCTGTGTGCTTTCAATGTGTTTCACTGATAAACAAAAAACAAGTGAACGTATAATAAAAATATAAATAAGCGAACGTATAATAAAAATATAAATGGATTTTGCCTAGCTAAAGATAATATTTTCTATGCCACATCATAATTTCTTTTAGCCATGCACTGTTTACATTAATTCAGTCGAGAGAGTGCTTAAAGTGACAAGAATAGAAGTCCCAGTTAATAATTTAGAACTATAAAAATTACTCTGGATTTTGTTCTATTTATCGTTCCATGCTTTGTTAAATATATTACAAGGCCAAACACTGAGTTTTATCGAATATTGTAATGTTGCAGGACATCTCCATAGGATGAGCTTTATCTGATCTGAAAAACTATTTTTGTTATGCCTCTGCAAATGATGGTTTCCAGACCCTTCAGAGGCAGCAGGCGGGGGAGTGCAGGTGGATGCATTGTGTTTGATGGGTTAGGTGTATGACTTGGAGCTTGCTATCATTCGTAGCTTATTTGAACTTGTAGGTTCTATATTTAAGGCGGTTTCTTTTGTTAAGAAGAATGTGTATTTTGACTGGTTATAAAGAACTTTGCAAATGTAAATTGCCGTGATGTGTACCAAATCTAGTTATACAAGGCTTGTGGTAGGATTTTCATGTGGTAACATTTGACGGTGACAAAAACTTTTTGAGGTTGGTAGAATATGAAAATCATGTAAGTATGTTAGGAATAGCTGAGTTGTAATGCTGTTTTTCCCCCCGTAAGTAATGTTGCACATTGTATCAGCCCCTGATTTCAAAATGGGAAAAATAGATTAGTGTACAGAGCTCTTAGACCTACCAGTGTAGTGTTTGATTTTCTTGCCTAAGTTAAAATTTGGGTATAGAGGCTTCGTAGATTTTGGCCAGGGCATTGTTATGGCTATCGAGTCCCTTGTACAGTTCCTTGTTTTACATTATGTGCCTGAATTGCTAAATGCGTCATACTGTGAGCACCTCAAATGTAATTTATGAGTTACTATTTAGGTGGCATTGACTTCTAATGACATTGATGTCTAATAAATAGACATTAAAGTTTAAACTCCAAAATTGATTTCCATTGAATTCTTTGAATTGCTATGTTGGTGTCATTTATTCGTAAAATGAAAACAAAACAGTATTTAAATCTGGAAAGGAAATGTATGTTTTGTTGAGTCATTACGTTTAATATATTTCTGAATCGTTCTTTCAAAGCCTTTTTATTTCTATATATAAAATATTCATTTAATAAAATGTTCCGCATGTGAATTCAAAAATTTTCTTACTTTTTAATCACACATTCTCAAAAAATAAAATAAATCAATTTATATAAAATCTATTCTAAAAAACTGGGCTAAAATAGGTGCTATGTAAAATCTTATTTACAAAACTTTACCTACATATATACGTGAAGGTGTTTGAGTTTGTTTAATCATTTAAGAGAATTACAGTAAGTTTTGGATTCACGTCTTTCTTAGAATATGAAAATCATGTAAGTATGGTAGGAGTAGCTGAGTTGTAATGCTGTTTTTTCCCCCCGTAAGTAATGTTGCACATTGTATCAGCCCCTGATTTCAAAATGGGAAAAATAGATTAGTGTGTACAGAGCTCTTAGACCTACCAGTGTAGTGTTTGATTTTCATGCCTAAGTTAAAATTTGGGTATAGAGGCTTCGTAGATTTTGGCCAGGGCATTGTTATGGCTATCGAGTCCCTTGTACAGTTCCTTGTTTTACATTATGTGCCTGAATTGCTAAATGCGTCATACCGTGAGCACCTCAAATGTAATTTATGAGTTACTATTTAGGTGGCATTGACTTCTGATGACATTGATGTCTAATAAATAGACATTAAAGTTTAAACTCCAAAATTGATTTCCATTGCATTCGGTGAATTGCTATGTTGGTGTCATTTATTCGTAAAATGAAAACAAAACAGTATTTAAAACTGGACAGGAAATGTATGTTTTGTTGAGTCATTCCGTTTAATATATTTCTGAATCGTTCTTTCAAAACCTTTTTATTTCTATATAAAATATTCATTTAATAAAATGCTCCGCATGTGAATTCAAAGATTTTCTTACTTTTTAATCACACATTTTTCAAAAAATCATTATTTAAAATAATGTTTTTCCAAAAAAAATTGATCACCATAGAGGAGCTTTTGTTTCTTTACCCTCTTTCTTTTGTTGTGGGGGTGTGGTTATGATTTTACATTTTATACTCAAGTTCTGCATTAGAGAAGCTCTTAATGACATGTCAGAAGTCTCTTTAAGAAGAAGGATCATGCTATGTGTACATAATGTGAAAGGGATGTAAGAGGTAGCACAGACCTCACCCCTCTCATTATGTACATACCTATAGATATTGTTATGTACACATAGCAATATCATAAAAAGAATCAAGATTAAGAGTAGCGACTAGAATTGGTTTGATGTGATCATGGCCTACAAAGACTCGAGGTTCTTGCTCTATGAAAGGGATTTAGGATTTTGACGAGTAGAAGATTATAGATTCTTCTTGCATATCAATTCAGAGTAAGTTTGATTTTTATTTTGTAAGTAATTTCATAGAACGTATGACTAAAAAGTTTAAAAATAAAAATAAAATTATGAATTCTTACGCAAATTATTTTATTGAAAGATTTTCAAAAATGTTGTTAATAAATTATGAATTCTTTTTTTAAAAGAAAAATTCTATAGCATTTTTTTCTTTGCAAAAAGCAGTCTTTTCAGTTTTTGTTTATATTAACTGGACAGAACATATTCTACTTGACCCCAGTTTTTGTCCTTGACAGGACAAAAGGTAGTGGAAAAGGAGAATATGCTTCTTGATGTTCTCTTGCATCCTATCCAAATCCAACACTAAAGTAAAAGAATAATCTATGATATGGATTAGCAATTTCTTTCAGAGAATAAATATAGAAATTTACAAGTGTGAAATAAGAAAAACTTGATCAACCATTCACAGTTTTATGTGTAGCTTGATATTTAGTGTATGTTTGGGATATCGTGTTCTTGAGGATGAAGCCACATTGAGCAAACTTCACCTAAAATTTGTTGTAATCAGACAGTATTTCTACAAAATTAGCTCAAAAGTGGTCGGGCCTTGAATATACTAGCTATTTAACACAAATCCTTATATTACAAAATATAAATCAGTCAAAATCTTATATATTGAAGTATATACGACTACATATCAAACTTGTCAAAATTAGAACAATGGACACAGAGAAGTGCATGGAAAATGTATATTATCCGTTTTCTTTCTTGTTATTTTGATTGAAAATATTTTTTCTTCTGCAAGAATGGCTGAATATAATTAAAAGGCACAGTCTTGAATAACATGAAGACAACGAAATACCAATTAGCATAGAACCAGAGCATAACACCATCTAGTCGACCACAACCAACAAAGCCGCAAACTCTACAGAAACGTCCCACAAAACGACAAAACGACGAACATAAATATGAAGTGTGTAACAAGCAAACTAGATAAAATTGATCAATTTGACCAAAAGATGTAAATGTACTTCTACTGTACAAGTTTTGGTTTCTTTGTACATAACTCACCGGGGTAAACCAGAATGTCCGAAAATAAAGAAGAAACATCCATAGAAATGCATCAAGCAGTATAGAGTGTATTTAGAATTTCCTGTGGTAACGGCATTATTCAATTGCGATAAATTTGAACCACTGAATTGGAACTGTAGACAGAATTTATTTACTCTAAGAAATGAGATGAAGTGGCTCATAATTTACTTACTCTCCGCAAATCGACCATTGGTTTTATTTACAGAAGCTCCCAATCAGACTCAGGCGTCTCTTGTGATGGTGATCTCGGCAAGAGAGAATACGCACTGGGTGTAGAGGGCAAAGAACTTGATTCAGAATGTTGCCATAATTCTTTATCAACATCTCCATACAATATTGCCAAGTGTTCATATTCCTTGATTAATCTCTTGTGTGAACCGAAAGCATTCTTAATCAATTTCTACAAATGAAACAAACAAGGTGTTTGAATAAATTGCTTAGCTTGATCACGATTGTTCAAATTAAGCTCATGACTGGACGACCGCCAATCATCTAGTGGTACAGAAATGCGAGTAAGTCAATATAAATGAACAGGAATGAATTATTTGTGATTGCAGATAATGAAAACGGAGTGCAATGAAATGGTACCTTATAATATCTGAAATTTCTCCCTCTGTAAGAAGCACCATAGACAGACTTAGCATTCACAATGGCACAACTTTCATCAAGCTCTACCTTATCAGAGAGATCGACTGTTGCCATGTTAGGGTCTGAAATACCACCACTAACTTCGCAAAAGTTACCTGCGCAGCGTGTTCAACAACAGTAAAACCAGATGAGTGTCTTTAAGAATGATATATATAAGAATAGCAAGGGCAACTCAATAAATAAACTACAGAGCACGAAATTGATTAATTGTTAATTTTACCATTATCCAATGGTTAGAGTAAAATATTATTGACTAAGGTGTTTTTTGAAGGATTATATCATACGCCAACGGTACCAGAGATCAATGACTATTTTGATAGAGCAAAGAAGCACCAGTATGGAAGTACTAAATTCATTCTTTTCTATTTTCACATGCACATAACCATCCAGCCGAAACAAGCAGGCAAAACTGAACCTTAATCATCTTCATAAACCACACGCCATCATAAAATTAGTAAACATTAAGTGGAAAATATATAAAATATTAGGTATCCAAAAATACAAATATACCAATTTCTGCAGGAGAAATGAGCAAATTGGATTGATGACTGTCACAGTATAGTTCTTGCCTACTTCCAGATGGTTCGAACACAGAAACTGATCCATGAGTCATGGAAGTATTAACATCTGCAAATTAGAAAAAGGTTAGAGAGAGGTTAAGAAGCTTTCTATTAGGGAAGGAGGAGTTAACGTAGAGAAAGGGGAGAAACTGTAATGCAAGCATATAAAAAGGAAAATATTATACAGTTCCAAGGAAGGAGGTAGAAAATTGAAAATACCAACATTTGATTCGAAGAAAGAAACACTACCAGAAAATGCAGGAATAAAATCCAGAGTCTTTGTTTCACATGCTGCAGTAGTTAACGATGCAGAACATTTATGGTCATCGGATTTATTATAAATGCAATCAATAGAATCAGCACGAGGGTCAAATATATCTTTAGCCTTCTGAACCAAATCTGCCAATGTTAACTCCAAAAAATTAGAAGACTCAGGGGATGCAGCACAACTGGAAGAGATAACACCATTATCCACTTTGTTCTCACAAGAAAAAGTTGAAACCACAATTTCAGGTGACTGGACTGTGCTTGACGCATTGAAACACTCAACTACAGTTGAAAAATTATCAGAAAGAGAACCATCTTTTTCTGTGGTTCCGCAGTCTGCATCATCAGCCGAAGTTGTTGGTGAATTTATTGTAGGACCATTACATTTTTCACCTTTATCAACTGAGACTCCTTGTGGTACAGATGAACTACCATCTTCGTCAAAATTTGAATATTCAACTTCTGGCAAGTCAAGTTCAGGTTGCTGGATGGTGCTTGATGCATTGAAACACTCAACTTCAGTTGAAAGGTTATGAGAAAGAGGGATATCTTTTTCTGAGGTTCTGCAATCTGCATCATCAGCTGAAGATGATGATGAATCCATTACCTGAACATTATACTTTTGACCTTTATCAATTGAAACTGCTTGTGGTACAGATAACCTCCCATCTTCATCAAAATTTGAATCTTCAACTTCTGGCAAGTCAAGTTCAGGTGGCAGGACGGTGCTTGAAGCATTGAAATGCTCAACTTCATTTGAAAGGTTATCAGAAAGAGGCTTCTCTTTTTCCGGGGTTCTGCAATCTACATCATCAGCTGAAGATGATGATGAATCTATTACCAGAACATTATCCTCATGACCATCAACTGAAACAGCTCGTGGTGCAGATAAACTTCTATCATCATCAAAATTTGAATCTTCAATTTCTGGCAAGTCAAGTTCAAAATCCCAGCCCGTGCTTGATATATCAGAACTGCACTCTATGTCATCTGAAAATCTTTTACTAAAGATCCCTTCTTCTGGGAAAGTTATAAGCCTTGCCTCATGAACTGGAGGTGCTAGTGAAGAAACCATGGACAGCGTGGTATTGTTATGATCTCCACTCGTATCCCTTGTCTCCACAACCACCTTATCTGAGTTATTGGAGATTATACCATCACCATCTTGTTCCAAAGGCAAATCAGTTTCTGCTTCTTCACAAGGATCTGCAGAAGGCGTAGTAGTACATTGCACTGAGTGGTCAAGTTGGCTTGGCATCATTGTATCGTTGTTTCTCTGAGTGTCAACAGAACCCTGTTGCATAGACCACTCTTCGGAATTCACAATATCCTCTAATGGTGGAAGTATATCTTGGACCACATTGGAGTAAAATCTTTTCACGCCTGAACCAACATACTGCACTTGGTTCTCAACATATTTAACTGTTTCCTATACAATTAACCAATTTAGAGTCTTAGGCAATGAGAATACTATTCTACACCTGAAATGACAAATTTCTACCAACAAGTCTAAAAATAACTCTACTCTTCACTCGCTTAAGCGAACGCAAGCTGCCATTTTCCAGACACAACATTGTTTGTCCATCCTTGTCCATGCAAATATAGTATTTCAGTATGACTTAGAGCCACAGATATAAAAAACATTACCTTGTTTATAAAACCGTCAACCTCATTACACATGGACTCGAACCTGTGACATATGCTCCCAACCCACGTTTTACCTTTGTTTTTTAAATCCATTGGAACATATATTATGTGGCCAAATGATCAAGACAACTCATCACTAAAATGAAACACAGTTCCTGAAGATCACAGATGATCGAACCTGCATACATTCACATATGATTTCATAAGAATAGCGTATACAGAAACTCTATTTTTCAGTAAAAGGAAAATGAGTTTGTTTTTAGCAATAACTTCATAAGACGTGGCACACTGATTTTTTTTTGGAAGTTTTCACTTATTGTCTAGGGTAATAACAATAAATTCCAAGATATTTCACAGAGAACTTGTAATGCCATGAAATTCAGGGCATACATAGAGGCGCACAACAAAACTTTACTAATTCTTTTTAACAAAATGAAAACACTATTTTTTATCAAAATTGCAGAAAAATGAAGGAATAGAAAGATCAGCAGGGTCCACATGATGAGATCCTTAGAGCATGTTTCACTAAGCTTTGGAAAAATAGAAGTACTTTTTCAGAAAATAAGTGAAGACTTTACTCTTAGAAAAATGTTTTTGAAATCTTAACACGAAGTGTAACTTCTGAAGAAACTCAAAGCATATTTGAGAGAGAGGATAACTTCTAAGCTTAACCAATCATGACTTAAGTCATTAACATACAAGCAAACAATGTTACCTAAAACGATGGACATGCAAGAAATACAATTATAACATTAAATAGAACAAATAGTTTTCACTCAACCCTTGATAAAAACTAAAAAAAACACTATTATAGGTCCCACAATTAGAGTCCAAAAGGGCAAAACCGGCACACAGCCGAATTAAATTATTGAACTCAATAGCCATCATTGAAGTAAAGCAGACTAAATTATGAAAATTATGGTTACACAATAGCTTAAAAAAAAATCAGAAATCTGGAAATTCTGAGCTTTCGACGACGTATAAACATGCAAGGCCCGTTTTTTTATCAACTAGCTTCAGAAGAAAAGAGTACGTTAATCAACCTCTAAATCACCTACTGAATTTTCTAACAGCTTTTTCCCCCCTCCTTTTAAGCTCAAAATCCAAATTTTACAACGAAACAAAAGATTTCACTTCCTCCGACCACAAATATGTCGATGATCACAGAAAACATAGAATTTGAAGAAAAAATAACAGACTTCAAAGAAAACTGCAAAATAATAATAATAAAGCTTTTGACTTCTAAATAAGGAAGATAAACTATGATCGGGAAACATAAAGAGAAAGACGACTTACTGGGGATGCGCCGGAAGAAAGGGTTCAGGCGGGGGCAAATGCAAAAAGGTGTTTTAATCTACGCCAATAGCAGAGAATACATGCTATCATACGCAGTGGGTGCATTATTTAGTGTTTACACACGTGCAAGGTTTTATGTGTAGGGTTTATACTGGGTGTGTTTTAGTGAAATAGAGGCATTAGGACTATTTTGGGATGAGAAATGCTAGTGGTACATTTGGAGTTACATAAGATTGTTCATAACGGACACCAGGCGCATCCTCATTGGATGGAGTGTCACATAAGGGTGTCCATTATGGACACCTTTATGTAGCCCCAAATGTACAAGAAGAATAACTCTTTTGGGAATAGGAGTCTGAATCAAATGTTGGAGCGTCAAGTGGCGAGTTGGTAAAATATTTTGTGAGTGTAGCATGGCCCATAATTGAATATTTCATTAAGCCCACATTTGGTGCCCATTATTTCAAAAAATAATAATAATAATAAATAATTTGAATAATATTTTTAGAAGAATTTGTGGTTAAACTGTAGGAATAAATTTTGAATTTAGTGAATTTGTGATTGAAAATGATCATATAGCAAAAATAGTTTTAAAACAATGGACACCAAACAGGGGCTAAGAAGATTCCACAAATTGAATGGTCGATGTAGCAATCGCCGATAATCAAAAAGAGTTTTAAAACAATGGACACCGAACAAGGGCTAAGAAGATTCCACAAATTGAAGGGTCGACGTAGCCATCGCCGATGACCCTCGAGAGGCGCTTTGAGATACCCGCAAGTTCGTAAATATCAAAAATTTGTGTATTCATATTTTCAAATTTTAAAATTGTGCCATTACATCTCCGACTAACGGAAAACATTTGTTTAAACGTTGAATGACTGCAGGATACTCATTATGTCAATGATCGATTGAAGCGAAATGATATTTTTCTTGAATACAATTGAATTTCTAAATGACTCATTTAATTGTCGTTAATTTAATACCACTTGACACGTTGCTTCAATTGGTGTTATAAGTTAACATCACTCTTATCAAATTGGGATTCGACTATGACACAAAAAGTTTGGATCAACACATGGAGCATCAAACTAAACACTTATATTTAATTCGTAAATTAGTATATTAAATAAAATTTCAATTTTCTTTCCTTTTTTTTTTTTTAATACTACATACATGTGAATTCACGAAAGCGGAAGAAGTCATTCCTTGTTTAGTACATTATGCTGAATCGAAATATGTTTGGTAGAACAGATTGGATATCACCGATAGTATGCATCCATTATGACATTTGAGAAAATTCATAGTAGCTGTTCAAATTGTTAAAAGACAACACTGAACAATTTTTTTTTGTTCTTAAAAATTAGTACAAAGCAACAGTTTCATATATGAATACACAAGACAAATTTAGCCTAATTTTCGAGGTAACTGCCAAAACACAGATAAAAACATTAGCATATATTTAGAGCATTAACTGTACTTTCATAGAGCAATGCCAAGAGTTCGAGCAAAACTATGGAGTAACTCAACTAATACAAGAGTATATTTCAAAGACCACGAGCGTAAAATCAAGCAAACTACAAGCTCGAGCAAGCTACCATGAGACAAAATATCTTCTTTATAAAGGAGATTCGATTCGAAACTCTTATATGTCCAAGATTCAACAAGAAAATTATTTCAGAGGTTTTCCCCGACTTTGTGTGTGTCAAATAAACAATTCGAAATACCTCTTTTTTAGAACAGGTCCGAGTCAAATGGAAGAAAATCGAATCACTTCTTTTTACACAATTTCAGAAACCTAAGGACTCATATCATATGGAATGTAAAATATAGGATTTCCAATCCTAGCAAGGATGCAGAAACAGAAACTAGCATACAACTCAACAAACAATACGACTCGCTCCCACCACCCTAGATTAGATATAAAACAATATGGCCAATGCCAGTACACAGATATAGGCATAACTCCATACTTGCACAGTTGCCAGAACAGCAATTTTAGCAAGGATATCTAACAATAGTGGCCCATTTAAGTTTAACTGAGCATGTAAAGAGAGAAAAGATCCCAAGGAAGCAAGCACACGGTAAGGGGAATAAAAGAGGAAAATATTTGATAAACAAACCTTAATGGGACTGAAACTATTGTTATTTCAAACAGTATAACCGGAAAAACATACAGCATTTTTAAGTTTTAGTAGGACACAAACCAACCTGAATGAAACATCTCCACGATAAGCTATGAAGATATACAAGTGAAAGGGCACTGGTACAAGTAACAACTAATTACAAACCAAAAGAACATCACAAACAACTTACGCCCAGTTTATTCACGAGTACCTCCATGTAAAGTGACAACAGATTTAATCTCAACAATACAAGCCCCACAAACATGGTAATAAGAAGAGTTGGGAATGTTGTTCCTAGGGGGCAGTTTAGAAAAGCATTTTCGGCCTAAAACTGATACTAATTATGAAGATTCTCAATAACCAATCTCATTCCACTTGGTACAAAATCAATTCTAATAGGCAATAATTAGACCTTTCAGCCTCTAGAATAAAGGATTTTGAATACTTCTAATAAAATTTAATACACATTTATCAGTCGTTAACGGAATTAGATAGATCATATGGAATTATACTATTATAAGAGGGATGCAAGAAAATCTGCAAAGGGAATTGTCTAGATTCTTAGAGAAAACTCCAGTGTGTCAAACAGCTGTGCTTCTGGAGAGAAGTTCTAAACTGAAAATTGATTCATAAAAAATGAAAAGCTCATTTATCAGGGGTTGTGCAGGACCTTGAAGATGAACAAGACAATGATGCTGATGAAAAATCACTGAGATTCTCACAAAGACAGGCTTCCGAGAACAAAATATGTTTATCTCTTTGATGGATGAGAAGTTTCAAAAATTTAAAGTTCTGTTCATTTGAGAAACTCACATACATCTAAGAGTAATATTTTCAATGAGGTAATTGCAAATGAAGAAACACTTTCAGTCAATGGAAGTATGTGATACATAATTAGCCCATGTTTGGTGTAGATTAAAATATTAAGTCAAAAGTTAATAATTGATTTTAACCAAAACTCAACTCTTCAACCACACATTTCACCAACTTTCATCAAAATCTACTATAAATCTGATTTTAATCTCCACCAAATAGAGGCTTAATAAATTTTCCAGCGCTCAGAGTGAGCAAATGCAGTTATTTCATGGCCTAAGTGTATTATCATATCTAATTTTACCAGTAATATTACAAGTGTGTATGTTGGTTTACCAGTAGGCTGCTCTAAAAGACTGTCTCTCTACCATAACAATGTATAGGACTTCAGACAGTTGGGCGCTAATGGCAAAAAGTTTCATACTTATTTCTTTTCTTAATCTTCTCAATTTAATTTTGAAAACCCAGGACACAGCCTCCAAAAGAAAAACCTGTCAAGGAAGCTGGCTATGTAACCCAAGAGGCAACGGTTCCTGACTGAACATAAATCTACAAAGAAACAACCAGACATAATACAGGCATAATAATGCTACCACTTTATAAAAGCAGAATTTTAGATTCACGCCAACAAAAAGGTATAAATAATAAACCCAAACAAAAGGTTCAAGCAGCAGAAGCAACAAGAAAGATACATAAAAATTTAAAGCATACTATTGTCAAAGCCAGTAGCAATGATACTACCATCATACATAAAAACCAGGAAAAATGTCGGTTCCTCATTAAAGGAAAATACCAATAGTACTTTTCTCTTTTTCCTTAGCTTTTCTTGCTAGATAATCAAACACACTTTAACTACCACCAATTAGAGAGGATGACATCTCAAGGCACATATGAAGTGAAGAAGAGGCCAAAGCACACAGCAAATCAAAACCATCAGGTTCATATTGTCTGCATGAGATCACCAGAACCACTTAAGGCAACTGCGTCAACAAGCTTTTATAAACCTGAATCAAACATCCATTCACAACTCAATACATCATTCCACATACAACAGACAAATAGAGTTCAGACTAACCAAAAAATTCCGAGAAGATGCTAAAATTTGAGGTAAATTCTTCACTAATCATAAGAATTAGAGTTCGTAAAAATAATTTAAAAAATACGCTAATAAATTTAGAAAGCACATGAAAATATAAAGAACCAGACAAGAAAAAGAAAGAATCACTTGACCACTTAATCTTCATTGGCACAGAGATAAAATGATTTAGACAATTTAAATGTTCACTGAAAAACATCTGATATATTATCAATTCGCAAGACATGACCAATAGAGTCTTAACATTCTGTACAGCAGCTCCCAGACAAGGATGGACGTGGGTTACTGTAAGTTCAGCACATATATCACATGAATTCTTACAAAAAAAAAATAAAAAATCATTAGGGTATCTTCTACTAGCTGAATTGAACATCAAGCGTAGTGAGAAGTTGGCAAGGCTTAGCAGAAGGCATATGACATAAGCAAACCAACACATCAGCAGCTGGTTGGATGAGCTGAGAAGTAAGCAAAAGTTCCACACTAATACTCACACGTGAACAAAAAAATTTGTAGGATCCTCCAAAAATAGAGAGGTTGAGTCTTGAGGAGGTGATTTGGATAGAGCACAGGCCAAAACTCTTCACCCACTCCCATCTAATCTCGACCTCCCACCTCAACCTCCTGAGAATACCCAGCCTCAACCCGAATAATTGGTATCAAATAGGAAGCCAATAGCCGCTTTTTAGGAGGAAGGCAGTTTTCTATATATAATGTGCTTTAGAAGCCAAATAAACAGTAGGGAAATTTCTTTCGTAAATCCAAAGAAACTCGCATTCACAAAAGTTGTACAAGCCTTGTGGAACAGGCTAGACGACGAATAGGTACACTAAAGATAATATAGTCCATGGTGGTTGCAAAATATTTTATTTTATTAGACATTTCAGAAGAGGTAGTCCGGAATTAAATGAAATGACAAAAAAATTATCATCGCGACTGACCCCAAGTTTACCAAATTAAGAATTGGCTTCTTATGTCATTGATTTCAAGGTTGAAACAATTTCTGAAAAGGTTGCCCTATCAATAAAGATGCAGCATAAATGGGTACTCAACTCTTAAAAACATATGCACATATAATGAGCTAAAATATAACATTCTTTTATGCGTATTGTAAACATAAACATGTTATTAGTATCTAGAAGTATTGAAATGTAGTGAGCATTAATGAACATTATTTGTATCTAGAAGTACAGTCATGAAGGTAGGTGGTTGTGCGGGAATGTGTAATGAGAAATACTAATACATTACACGTGTCCGCATACAAATATCTACCAAACCTGCATGGACAATGCACCACACATCCAAAGAAGTTCTCAAAAAGGAAATGACAACTGCTGCAAAAATATTAACATCAAAAGCACCTTGTTCCCAACCAATTGCATTAAAATGCTGGATAACGTTCCAAAATACATTCCCTCAATCAAATGAAGCATCAGAGTTATATATATTAGGAGGCAATCTAACAAGTCAAATGTGTAACAGTGTATACAAGGACAATCAACCAACCAGCGAAGAAAAATGACAAAAGCACATGTCGTAGAATCAAATTTTTAAAACTTGATATCCTAAACAGGAAAAGTTTTCCAATGATGCAGCTCTACCATAAATTTAGAACTTAAGCAGCTCAATCAGTAATAATTCCAAAAAATGCCGTATGCATATGCAGTATACTATAATACATTACCCCCATAAGCACTACACAAACTAAAGAGACAAAAATGCACGGGACAGAAAGATCATTGCCACATACTTTCCACTTTGGTACCAAATGAAGTAATGAGTAACTATAAAGGCACAAACATTAAAAGACATGAACTGCTACAAAAGGGCCTGCATATAACATATGCATACATCAATTCTCTCACTTTGACACATCATTGCTTATGAGACTAGATGATAACAAAATTAGCAGACCATGCATTTAGCATGTGAAAATTCTTAATGTAACTTAAAGCCATAACACAAGAAACGTATGGTCCAACTTTGGTTAGATAACACAAAAAAATTCTTGGCAAACTCCAGTACTTAGTCTAATCTAAACGTGTCCAAACTCGTCAAATCCACCACCATTCCACTTTCCTCTAGATTCCTGGTTTCTCACATATACGTTAACAGGAGGCAGACTAGCTGGGTCTTAATAAGATAGAATGCACAGGTTCTCTAAACAATGCCTGCTAGTAGCTCATCAGCAAGTATATTTGCCATGACCAAACAAATAACGTATCTAGAGAAGAAGGCTTTGCTCAAACCTCCGCCTTCCACTCCACCAGAAAGAAATGGGAGAGGTGAAAGCAGTTGGCGTCATAATAACCAAAACTGAAGAGTTCTGGCTTGGACTACACCATAAGTTAATATTTTGTAATAGCATAAATATTTTTCTTGAGAGAAAACTAACTTCTCTCGTTTCAAATGTGTTTTGCTACCAAAAAGTTTAATACATGAACTGTTCTTGACAGAGAATGCAATGATGAAGACTCGAGGCAACTTTTACTGCATCAGGAAAAAAAGGGATTTCATTTGATTTCTACAACTGTTAACATGCAGACGTTCTGCAAATGCATTATTAAGAGCAAGGGAATTAAGAAGAAACAATTAAGTTATCATTCCTAGTTAATATGGTAGATAATTAAGTATGCAACAGCAAACAACCAACTTTTTTAGTTCGATTTCAAATAGATCATTAAATAATACAGCCATTTCAAACTGGCACCAACAAGCATAAAACAACTTTTACCAGAGTCCCCAGATAAAACAGAGATAACATGCAGGCAACAACAAATCATAATTAATAACAATTTACTTTGACACCTCCAGATTACTTTATGTGCATCATATGAATGGATGAATCCTGTATCCCATGCACAAATCTAAGAGGTTTTGAACTTAAAAGTTGCAAATTAAACTTCCATATAAAACCACACAAAATTAACCGAGTGTCACAAAAATGCGTAACACGTAGTCGTAACACAGGAAACCATGTTTGCTGATAAAAGCCAGTGTCACAAATCAGCAGCACACTGATGAAATCATAATAAGACTGAGATGTTAATTTTAATAGAACCTATAACCATGAAAGTCCAAGAGTAGAATGCCCATCACGCAGAATCGAAAGTCATGTCCACAAAAAAACAGCAGATGAGCATATTGAAATAAAACATTAAGTTAATCAACCTCTGCATAACCTACAAACAACAATGATGTGAATGGAGTGTATAATAGAGGTATGGAAGCTACCTTAGTAGTAAGGGTGCATCCCCTGGTACATTCCTCCGGGCGGAACCCTAGGTGCTGGTGATGTTCCTGCTGGCTGATTATGCTGGCTTTGATACCCACCAGATGACAAGCTGTACTGTGAACTCCGTGGATAATCTCCCGAACCCGTCCCAGCTGAGCTTGGTGGCAAACCATACAAGGATGACCCACGACCAGCACCACCCAATCCACTGCCAATACCACCCAGTACACCTCCGACTCCACCTTGTCCACCACCCAGTCCACTTCCGACTCCACCTTGTCCACCACCCAGTCCACCTCCAACTCCACCTGGTCCACCACCAGAACCCCCCAATCCAGCTCTAACCCCACCATATCCATCACCAGCACCAGCACCACCTAAACCACTACCAGCAATGCCCAGTCCATTATACCCAGTTGCACCAGGCCCAACAGAATTGGTGCCACCAGCATAAGGCCCACCCAATCCAGACCCAAACCCACCACCACCAACCAAATTCATCCCAGCAGCTTGGCTTCCAACTGCTGGGATCGCCTGACCACCTACACCACCACCAGCACCTAAAGGCCCAGAAAACCCAGTATACTGCCCACCAATCCCACCATACTGCCCACCCGGCATTGTTGCCCCAATCCCATCTGCACTGCCCACCTGCTGAGCACCGACAGGCCCGGAAGCCCCAATCCCAGGAGGTTTCCCTCTTTTCCCATCTATTGCCAGCTTACAATTTAGCTGATGCCCGTCAATATTCTTCATGGGATCCACAAGTGAAGCTCTCGCAGCCTCGGCTGTCTTATACACAAACAAAGCAAACCCCTTGGACTTCCCCGTAGCCTTATCAAACCCCAAAGGCCCCTCCTCTATCTCTCCATACATGGAAAAGTGCTGCAATAATCTATCAGCAAGCATATCATATGGCACATTCGCCACATAAATCTTCCTTGCCGACACATCCACATGATTATTCCCTCCCCCGATGCCACCCACCCCGGGCCCACTTCCCCCAGACATACCAGCCGCTGCAAGCTGAGTAACCGTCATCCTGCCGTCAATTTTCTTACTCGGTTCCTTCAAAGCCAACATAGCACCATCAACATGCTTAAAAGTAATAAACCCGTAACCCTTAGACTTACCTGTAGCCTTGTCGAGAATAACCACCGCCTCATCTAACTCCCCATATCCCGAGAACAGAGCGCGTAGCTTATCAGTGGTGGTCTCCCATCCAAGTCCTCGAATGAACAGCTTCCGCAGGGTCATATCCCGGTCGGCTATTGACCTAACGGCGTCGAGCACATCTGGGTGACGCAGAACGGCGTTTTGAACAATTTCCAACAACTGTTCGTGGGAAAAGGGCTCAATAATTTTGCGTGCATCATCGGGGGTGAGTTTGTAAGGGATGAAGGCATCTGTATCCACCGTTATGACACCGTTATCGTCAATCTTGCGTTTCTTGATCGAATCCATTGGAAGAGATAACCCTAGGAATCCTGCGTCAGTGAAAGGAAAGTGATGTGTTGTGTTCAAAAATTGACGAATTTGTTTGTGGCTTTTAAATATTTGAGAGATTCGATAAATTATTAGAAATAACATTGTTTATATTATATATATTAAAAAAAAAAATCATTTTTAATTTTTTCGCTGTAACTGTAAAAATATTTTCGCTGTAATAAATAAACTGTAAAAATAAAATAAATAAAAACGAAACTCTAAAGCAGTAAAGCCACGAAGCTCATATCCAAGTGCTGGAAGGAAGTGCCGAAGTCTTCCATTTTTGCAGTGATTAATCTTCAATGCCCCGCTCGACGTGTATAATCTGCAATGCTCTCCTCTTCCCTGTGAGCTATCTCCATCTATTTGTTTGTATATTCGTCTTTTCTTGGTATAATGATTCGAACTGATTTGAATCTGTAATTTGTGGCAAATTCGTGATAATATGATGCTGAAAATGTTATCTATGAGCTCCGCCTTGTGGATCTGGGAATTGAGCCGTGGAATTTGAACTCTCGTGTCCAATTTTCACTGACATTGGTCTGTCGTTTGTTTTGTTTTTTTTTTTTTTTTGCAGTTTTATGCTAGTATCTGGATAAATTTCTACTACTTCAGCTTTTTCCCCTCCTGTGAATTTTATGCTTATCAAGGAAAATGACATAGATGTAGCAATTTTTGTTGGTTAGAGAATCTAAATAGTTTATTTCAATTTCGGTTTGAATTCGGTTTCTTACCAGGAAACTTTCAGCTTCTCAACTTCCTATCAATCCCGTGTACAGCTCTTCTGCGGCCTTGTTCATATCATGTGATTAAATGTGCACGTATTAAAACAAGTACCTTGTGTGAAATTTTTGGTGCATCTCTTGTGAAGAGTATATCTTCATCCATTGGACTTGGTCTTTGCCTTTGTTAGTTCCTCAAAGGGACCATACTCCTGTAAAACTCTGCAAACAGGTACTTACCCGGGGCAGACACCTCAGGTAGAGACGGAGGGCTCTTACAAAGACCAAGGCATGTCTGATTTTCCCATGGAGGAAGTTCTAAGTGAAGAGAATCGAATAGACAATAATTCTAGTTCAGTCAAAATTTCTGAAATCGACAATGATAAAGAAATCCAGAGAAGAAGGAAAATTGGTCTAGCAAACGAAGTAAAAGTGCCATGGAACAAAGGAAGGAAACTGTTGGTCCCAGAGTTCACAAAGTACACAAAAAACTAAGTAATAATGCGAGAAATAAAGAATCAATACAAAGGATTTTTCACCCAAAAGGGTCCGGATGTTCAACAAAAGGCCTACTCACCCGTTGAGCATCCACACAAAGGGATTGAGCTCTAGTTCCGCTAAGATCACCAAGAACAGTTTATAATGTATGAAGAAATCAGAAATTTCTTCAAAGTTTCTCTCGCCTCAAGAATCACTCAGAAATTATACACAATCTCATAGAATATATACATCAAGTATAGTTATTGCCTTACCACTAAGGAATTACACAAAAAATCACTCAGATTTTCAAACGACAAAGAGAAAAGAGATAACCCTAATCACACAGAGAGAATATCTCACAAAGTTATTCCAACCGTATGCCAAAAATGAAGCTTCGAGAATTATACTTTATAAAAGATCAAGCGATTCCAATCAACGGTGAGGATCTGGCCAAAGATAAGGCCAGATAGCAGAGCCCAATAAGAAACGATTCTGGGCAGAAGAAACTTTGCAACACAGCCCACAATAACCAACATGGCCAAGTAATTATGAGGCAGCCTAAACATAATAGAAACACAGTGAAGGTAGCTTTTTCTGCAGTCTACTCTTATAATAGGAAACTTGCTTTGTCTAAATGGCATTGTATCTACATGTGCAGAGACTCGTGAGAGAATCAAACAGAGAACAAAAGAAGCCTTGAAAGATCCCAAGGTGAAGTCATGTAAGAATCAGATGTTTTAAATATATATTTATTTTTACTTCATGGATTTCAAACTTGGTTAAGAACTCTTAATGCTTTCTTTATTGCCATGTAAAATTGTTCACTGTTAAGGAGGATAATTTGTTGGACTGTTAGGTTACCTTTTTATGTTATTCTTACGGATGAATTAGGTTACTTAGAAGAAGCCACTTCACCATTATTATTTCTTTGATGCTGAACTTAGTTACGTGATTAAATTGTTCTTACCATTGTTTTCTTTTGTCGACTTCTAATTTTCACAGGTCAGAAAGAAGATGTCCGAATGTCCTCGTTCTCTCAGGTATTCTTCGTTTCAACTATTCCACTGGATCATGAATGAAACCAACCTCACAATAATAATAGTATTGTCCTTTTGGCACAACACAGTATTCTGTCCCTATGAAGTTTGAAGCGGATAAGAGTTCTGATGTGCGCTCGAAGAGTAATCATTTAAGTACTCACATGTGTCCTGGATAAGGACTGTATGAAAGACAAAAGCTCTTAGCTGCAGTATGGGTTAGAGACTTACAAACAGCTCCAACTTATCAAAAGTCACAGCAGAATTCTTAATTCTGCCATATACACGCTACTGTATATAATTTCATGCCAAATTGAAATATAGTTGTAACCTTTTTCTTTTTTTCTTAGGAAAAAAAAAGGTAATCGAGGTATTATATACTGGTACATCTTCCCTAAATGGTATCTATTCTAGCATTTAGTTCATTTCCTCGTGATCATGACAAACTATGGGCATTTATTTCGAAACAAAGGTCTTTTCTTTGATGCGTGAGGCATAAAACTATTGAAATGAGTTGGTGGCTCATCCACAGAATGAATATTAACCAGTAAAATCAACTTTTAAGCTTAATGGTAGCAATAAAACTAGAACCTCTTTTGCGCAGCAATCAAACTAAAGCAAGAATACGCTCATCGCTCAAAAAGATATGGGGGAAACGGTTACAATGGGAGAGGTCAAGCGAGAAATATTTGCAAGTATGGGCTGAAAGTATTGCAAACGCTGCTAAGATTGGTGGGATTGAACAACAAGAACTAGATTGGGATAGCTATGACAAGATTAAAAGAGAGATTGCCCTCAAACAGCTTCAGCAGGCTGCAGATAAAGCAAAGGCAAAAGAAATGGCACACATTCGAGCAGAGAGAGCTTCACAAGCAAAAGCCGAAACAACAGCAAAGCTTACTCAGAAGAAAAAAGAGCGGGAAGAGAATCCAATACACAAGAGCAGAATCGAATAAGAAAAACAAAAAATCGAAGGAAGAAAAATAACAGCTGGCAGTTTATCATGAGTTGAAACTCAGGGAGAGACTAATCAAGGTAAAACCCAATAAAAATTTCATGTGAAACTGTGACACTATTGAAGTGAATTATCTATATCATATCTGCATCTTATTAATGTTCTTGTTTTCATTTTTATATGGATTCCAGTATTCTTTTGGTTGAGTCGGGACAAGAAGATAAAATGGCTAAACAAGATACCTGAAATTTCATATTGTAGGGTTCACTTGACATTTAAAACTATGGGAACAATCTAATATTCGTATATGAAGATGTGCTGATTTCTTGTTTGAAGGTAAACAATTAGTAATGTCTACTCATTTGGAAGAGAGTAGAGAACCCTGAAATATCTGTCAGCTATTTGTTTAGGTTTTTGCAGTTTGTGTAATTTATAGACGTGATATTGCTATAGCTTTTTCTGGGCATGGAGTGTCACATAGGGAAGAAGACTTAGTTGTCGTAGAGTGTTCTAGGAATCCTTCAGCATGGAATTGCCTAAAATCGCATCTCACTAGTGTAGACCATTTCCTGTCCTCTGTATTTTGTTTAGTTAGCCCAATCTCTACGCTCATTTGGCTGACAATTCTTATTTTTTGCTGTAAACAGATAAACAGAAAAAAATCCGCAGTTAGTCAAGTAAGCAGTCAACAGAACGACATTGGGATAAATTTGACACAGAAATCGTGAAAAGAGAACAACTGCATAAGGAAATTTCACTGGCAGATCAAATTCGTTTTGCTAAGAATAGAAGAGCAGATTATTCAACTCAAGAAGCTTTCGATACTTTGTATCCTAGACGTGAGATCAGTTAGATTACATCAAATTCGAGCTAATGTGGCTGCAACATTAGATTACCAAAAACACACACTAAATTGTGTCTTAACATCATTTGTTCAATATCGAAACTTGCTTGTAATATTACCAGCAGTACTAAATTTTTGAACTAGTCTATTTGTTAGTGGCCATCAACATGAGGTGACTTTTATTTATGCCCCAATTTGATGGCCATTATTTGAAAAAAACAACGTTTTGAATAATAATTTTTAAGAAAATGCGTGGTTAAAAAGTAAATATTTTTTTTAAATTTACGTGTAAAATATTTTATTGCGTAAATATTTTGTTAAAAAAGAGCTTTAAAATCCTGGCTATCAAAAAGGGACTATGTACCCTGGACATAAAATATTTGGATAGAAAGGTTTTATACTGCTACTATAATCCTAGAGAAAATATTCAACCTCGTCCATCGCATCCGTGCATGAAATCCACTCAATTTTTCATGTCTTGTGATTTCGGGCATCAAGAAAACATGAACAAGATTTCGAAGATGGAAAAATTATTTGATGACATCCAAAATCCAGTGACGATAAACAATGTAATGCAATAGTTCAAGCACGCATTATAACTAGAGTGGAAGTTAAAATGTTCCAAAGATTTTACGAACATGAGCTCAGCCATTTGCACATTCAAAAAAAATTAAAAGCAACAATGTCAAGCCAAATTAGCATACATAATTATCACAGGAAATTCGATCTATAACATAGTTCATAGCAGTTTCTTAGTACACATAATATCTACATCATGTCTATCAATTATCTGGGCGTGGGGGCACGTCTCTTCCAGGTATATTCTGGTTTTGGTGAGGGTTGCCGGCACCAAAATTTGGAACATAGTTCTGGTTTTGTCCTGGACCAGATCCCATACTTGGACTATAGGTGTTCTGATTTTGTCCAGGAACCGATCCCATGCTTGGACCATAGCCGCTCTGATTGTGTCCAGGAGCAGTTCCCACATTTGGACCATAGCCGCTCTGATTGTGTCCTGGAGCAGATCCCACATTTGGACCATAGCTGCCTTGATTTTGCCCTGGACCTGATTGATGAGGCATTCCTCCAGTGTTTGGTCCATTCCTGTAGTGGTACTGGTAATTTGTTGCATTGTTGGGCACTCCTCCCATGTTATTTGGGGGGTAACTACCCATATTATTTGGTGGTCCACCCATGTTGGGCTGCTGCTGCTGTATTCCTCCCGGTTGGTTGGGCAGCTGCTGCATACCTCCCGGGTGGTTGGGTGGCTGCTGCATTCCTCCCATATTAGGTGGTGCACCCGTGTTTGGTGGGCTTCCCATGCGACCAGCTGGACCACCCATATTGGCTCCAGAGTTCTGATTAGCCATCTGCATATCCCTTCTTCTCTCAAAATTTCTCGATCTATCAAAGTTACGAGGTCTATCATTGCGCCTATTTCTCTCATTTGCCCGAGCATTGTTTCTCACCCACTCCTCATGGTATTTAGGATCATATGGCACAGCCTGCCCATTTATAAATGGTTCCCCTGCAATGTACATATGAAGATGCATATTTGGAGATCACCAGGGTTATTAGTTGGAAAAAATCTGCACGTGAGGAGTTACACAGGCAAATATGTTTTTAGAACATAACACAGAGCATAAATAACCAAATTCAACTACAGAGAGTGTCCCACACTGATTAACAGAACAAATGGTCCAAGATGAAGGGGCCTTGAGAGACACGACAGAAATAAGAACGTGTTAAGCAATAACATAAAAATCGTGGTTTGCAAGACTTCTCTACTGACAAAATTCAGAACCCTGAAAAGAGTTGGTTTTCCTATCTTTCTGGGGGCAAGCACTGGACAATAACATTTTGCATCAATTAACATCCACATTCAAGTCATTCAATTGAATCCAAAATTTAAAAAATAAATAAATAAATTAACTATGTAAATATCAATTATATGAACCTTTTTGTAGGCAATCTGTTCAGTCCATCACTACATCTACTCAAAGACCATACAGCTGACCCATAAACTAATAACTGCTAGCAACCATTTGTCAAGAGTTTATAGAACTCAGCATGAACACAATCCTAGGATTCAGTAACAGTAACACTCGTTACCCTCGCACAATATAAAATGCAACAAAATGAACGCAAAAGTTCACTGGCACAGTGTAGAAAGTAATAAATCCTGCCCAATCAAAAATGCATGTGTGTCTTTTAAGTACACGACAACACCTCCCAGCAACCAAAACAAATTGAATGAACCAGTTGGAAACTGAAGTCTTGGTAAAAATGGATGGTTTTAAGTATGTTATGCGTAAAGGAAATTTCTAGTACAGAATAGGAAGTACTACTAGTAATAAGCATCCTACACGTGTTGTTGTGATAAGCAATAAAGTTCTTCCCAACCACTACAAAGAAAAGTAAGCACTAACAACCAAACACAAGCAAAAACAGAATGGAGGTTCATACCTCCATAATCCTTGTTCTTGACATCCAAGTAGGAATCAGGAAGCACCCATCTAACTCTGGGCAATTCTGCATCATAAGTTGTTAAATTATCAATAGTAAATCTCAGTAACTCCTAACGACCAAACAGGAAAAGAACAATTACCCTTCAACTTGTAGGACAACTCCTCACTCACAAGGGCTCCAAATGCAAAGTAATGACGAGTAGAGACCGAATAAATTTTCATTCTTGCTTCTTCCTCACTGGAAAAAGTTCAAAAGTTCACTCAACATAATGCAATGCTACAAACTTTAGTGAAACATAATCATGAAAAGAGAAAAAATTGAATCAAATGTGTATCAACAAAAATTACTCCAGCCAAATAAGACAAGCTCTACTGATAACACCAAATAATAATCAAAAAGCTATCATGTGCACCAAATTCAAAAATTTGACTGGAAACATATGTCTGGTATCAATTCTCCACAGATAGTGCAACAGCAAAATAATCCAAAAATATGACAATCTTGGTCAGTTCTCAACCCTGATTGTTGTATTTCTAAAATACAATGCAAAATACCATAAATCACCCAACTCCTGCTGCAGATAGTTCAAACTTTAAATCCCTTAACTTTTATCAATAACCAAATAAATTTAACTCCAAAACATAAAATACAAAATCTTCACTAGTAATTCCTTCCATTCCACGATTTTCAACTTCCTATGAGCAGTAAAACAAACAGATTCTACGACAATCAAATTTAGGATGGATGAACGTTATTTTCTCATCAAACAGTACACTTTTAAATCCGTTTTGCACAAAATAATAAAACTCCAAACATAAAATGTAAGCAGAAAGCCAATCATCAAACCTTCCAACGACCGTGGCTAGGGTTTTGATGTAGCTGTCAATGATTTCATCTCGAGTGGGTTCTCCCTCCGGCTTTTCCATGACAACGAGCCAGTGCTCAAAGTCACACCCATCGAGCAGAATAGTCTCTTTCGGGGGACGGTTCGACCAGTTGGGATTTGGATCACTGAGTGAAGACGAGGTAGGGCGGGTTGCGAATCCTCTAGAGGAGAACACCGGAGACAATAGGCGGAAGTGGGAAGTGGACGCCGCTGCAAAGAGAGGACGAAGCCGGAGGACAAAGGAGGAGTGCGGTGGTGCAGCAGATGAGACGGCGGCGTAGGATCGAGAGAGGCTGGCTGTTAGGGTTTGTCTGGTGGTGGTGAATATAGACCGAGTCAGATACCAAGTTGCCATTTTAGTCGCCATTTAGGGTTCGATATAGTGATAAACCCCCTGATAGAGTCGGATTGAGAAGGTGGGAAGGTTTAGGGTTCTGGATATTTTACACGCATTGAATAGGAAATTCCAAGATGCCACTGGAGTTGTGAAAAATTGCATAAATATCTTATTTCCTTATCGGGATCCAATTGAGGTTTGGCGCATCCGAATTCATGTCGGTTTTATATCCCGTTTTGGGAGAGTATTATTTTAGGGATTAAGCCACTTGTACATTCTTTAGGTGACATGAAGTTTGACATTGTGTGTATATTCAAAAATTGTTTGGAGGGAAAGTGTGTTAAATTCAAAAACTGTCCAATATGATAGCGGCACGTGGCACAATGTAAAACTTGATGTCAAACTTATTTGATTACTTATTTATTGACTCACTTATTTGTAGAGGACATTTCCAAACATTTTGTTATAAACTTTCAATGTGGAATAAGAATTTATTGGATTTGACTATAATACATTGTACCTTTGATTTGACTATAATATATTGTACATTTTGTTTGATTGTAGTGTATTATATTGTATTATTATATAAATAGTTATTTATAATTTATTAAATTAATT